TATTCGAAACTTAATTAAGTGCCATACCAAATAGTGAATCATTACATCTTAAGTTAAAAAATTTTAAAAGACTAAATGAGAAAATCTTTCTTCCTTGAGCTTGCAAAGCTTGGTATTCTTCAAACATTTCCATAGCTAAATTATCTATACATTGCGACCATTCATCAATGACTCCCACAAAGGTTATATTATCTCTCTCGACCTCATTTTCAAATGTAGCTTCTTCAAGCTCTTCATCCACTTTTCTTAGTAAATCTTCTTTCACCATTCCATCTCATATAAAATTGTGCACAATAAAACATGCATCGATTATTTGAATTTGAGTCTTCACATCATAAAGTAAGCATGGTGTACAATTGTCCATCTCTTCTTTATTAACCCAAAGCCACATTCAATTGTATTCCTTGCAACAGAGTGCCGAAGGTTAAACAACTCCTTGTAATTCCTTTCCACAAATTTAGATGATATCTAGTTCCTCCATAAGGAGCCAAAAATCTTTGACTATTTGTGTAGCCCAAATCCACAAGATAATACATATTTACATAAAAAAATAATAAAAGAGAATCAAAACTGTCAAAAGTCAAATTTATACGAAGAGTTAAAAATAGTAAAATTAACTTGAATTAATAATACTTATTTTGGAAAACTTCTAAGCTATTACGTCTTGTCAAAGCATCATGTAAAACATGAGAATCTGATGCTTATCCTTCCCAACCAAGCAGCACATAAGTGAACTTTAAATTAGCATCACAAGCTTCCAAAACATTTGTACTCAAGTTAATTTTTCTATCTCAATATTCTCTTCGCTCATTAGCAGGTACAATTATCTCAATAAGGGTTCCATCAGGTGCCCCAAGAGCTCCCTTAAACCATTTCCACTTATCATCTACTTCATGGAGGGATACTTTATTTTGTTTAATGTAAAACTTTCCAATTTTCATCACTAGTCACAGAACAACATGAAATTGTCTACTGATTGTTTTTGATAAACGACCAAAAATACTTTTGATTATACTATTTTTAAAGTCATGAACAAGAATATGCAAGAAAAGTACTACAATTTCCTTAATTATCACATATAATTGTGGCCACTAGTCCGCCTTTCTCCACTAAAACATCACACAATTTCCTAAATGCTTGCCTAGTAACATGGAGTTGATGCAAGCAAATTTTTTCATCATCTAATAATCTAATCCACACCTTCCTCCAATCAGCCCTTTCATCTTGATCACATAATTGAAGTTCTTTGTATCTATGCTCATTTTCCTCAAATATAACAAGTATTATTATAAAAAAGTATAAGAAAGAACATAAGGAATAAAAAAAACTCCACATCTTCTTGCTCATTTTCCTCAATTTTCTCTCGAGGATGTTTACGTTGAGCTGACAAACCATTGTCACCACCAACAACGTTTGCCTATAATAGTTCAATTTACATTATTATAAAAAAGCAAAATGTCTTTTATTATAAGCCAACAAAAGAGAGTACATGAAAAAAAAAAAAAAGCTAAAAAGCAAAAGGATAATTATAACAAGATAAACTATCTTACTTGTAAAACAAAAGTTACGAGGTATTTTTGTAATTTTTGGAAATTACTTGAACTTGATCACCTTTGCAATTTCTATAATTTAAGAAAAGAGTCAATGTTGTAGGTTTAAATCCAATAAACACCAGCACGCTCAGAAAATGAATAAAGAATCTTCAACCCAAGCATATCTAATACAATTAATTTAAAACAAGAAAGCATAAAGCTGCTTTTCTATATCTTCTGCGACTTACTTCAGTTTCAAGGTAAACCCAATGACAAATAAATCCTATAGTCTTACTTCAATTGAAGGAAAAGGAAATGACTAAAGCAACCCCGTGAGTCTTGGATGTGCACAGCAGTAACTATCTAAAATATCAAACATTCAACAGCAAATCTTGAAAGCACTCTTTTCATTCATGCTCTACATAGCTCTGGTCCCCTATCAATGGCTACTTAAATTTGGATGTTATAAATCAAACTAAACATGGACAAAAAAGACTTCTACTTTTGACTTATATTCCTTTTTGTGAGACAGTATACTGTTTGGGCTGCAGTTTCTGTTTCAGCTGTGTTATGGACCTTATTAAATCTAAATCAAAACTGGAATAGATGTCCTCTTTAATTTGGTAGGTTCTAGATCTATCTCAGGCTTCAAATTAAGACAAAAGATGTGATCTACCAAATATCAATACTAGGCTAGCCCAAATGGTAGGAACAATGCCCCCTACTTATTACTTTAACTTTGCACTCTTAACCTACAAGTAATTACGTATCAAACTACAAGTAATTACCATACATGACTCCATATAGCAGGTGAATTTAGAAAAGTTCCAGCTCTCTCTCCCCCTCCCCCATTTGTGAATCTCTGGTGTTGATTAGGGGAAAAAAGTAAGACCAATTCAGAATGACAGAAAAGAGAAGATAAAATTGCTTAGAGATTAGGCCAAAAATCACATCCAGCAGTATGAAAACCATTAACAAACAATACATTGCTCTACACATATATAGGAGGTAGTAATTATTTATATACCCATAATTTTAATTTACTAAATCAATCTGTATGGCCATCTGAGGAACAAAATACCTGATCAATCAGGTTCAATCACCAAAGCACCAAGAGAACAGGGGGATCTTGAATTCATAAAAAAAACTGCACCCACCAACAAGCAAAAAGATTAATAGATGATCATGTCACAGAAATCCCTGACATTCAAACATCTTCCGGTGTAAAGTTTTATTTTTTTTCACATACAAATCTCCATACATGAACACTACACAAAAGAAGCAAAACATTGAGTACAAATTACCCAACAAGTAGAAAACACATAGAGAAAAAGGAAAGAGAACCCATTAAACCCCAGATGAACCTGAATCATTAAAAGGGAAAGGAGAGACCCTTCTAGGGATTGAAACAGGGGGGACAGGGGGTATGGGGATTTGGGAATTAGGGCTAAGTGTTTCTTTTGGTGCAATCAACAACAGGTGAAACTGTTAAGTACCTTCCTGGTGCAACCAACAACATAAGGAGAAAGAGAATGCTTGTTCAATGGAAGCACTTTTACCATGGCATGAATTTGAGCATTACACAAAATAATACATGATGAAAGTCACATTTAATGCAGGATTCCCAGGTTTTAACTTTTAAAACCTAGAATCAAAGATTACCATAAAATCTCAGAAATATTGTAATTCTAAGTAAAGAATTAGGAAGGAATCAATCCAAACAGCTTTATGCTTTCTTGTTTTATATTTTTCAAAATAGGATTTTTTTTTTTTTTTTACCATTCTTTTATATTTCTTGTGACAGATACTTACACATTAATTGAAATGTTTTTGATTTTCTCTTTTTCTTTTCTTTTCTATGTATCCACATCACAATCCCAATTTTAAACTTGGGAATATGATATTAGAGATTCTAAATCTGATATTAGATTTACATGAGACATGTATGGAAATAGGGATTTCCTATGTCCATTCATCAGGATCAGCTTAAAAAGGGTTAACTTCCTAAGTTGAAAAAACAGACAGGAATCTTTCCAATATTGCTATTGTATTCCATCAAAGAATACAATTTCAAATGGAATAAGAAAATCATGGCTAAAACACTAAATAATCTTCAGAACAAAAATTTAAAACACTTTTCTGCTTACTAATTGTATTATCAAAGAATACAACTTTCAAATGGAACAAGAAAATCATGGCTAAAATACTATCTAATCTTCATAACAAAAATTTACAGCACTTTTTTGCCACGACAACAGCAAAAAAAAAAAAAAAAAATCAATGTGTTTACAGAGATACTAATATCATATATAATTTTTCCTATATAATAAAAATTGAAATTCTAACTATTAAAATCTCACCTATCAAGCTAAAAAAACCCTTCATTCTCAAAAAGAAAGAAAAAAAAAAAGAGCGAATAATAGCACAAAAAAATAATGCTTCATTTTCTCAGTAAACAAAAGTCTAGTTGCCAAAAGAATCAAAAGAAGCAAAATAATAATGCAAGCTAAGAAACAAAAACACAGATGAAATTGCAAGAAAAAACTAGGAAAAGAAAGTTCTAGTGTAGAATTAGAGAATATACCTGAAGGAAATCAAAAAATCTACTTTAGAATAGAAGACTTGTGAAAAGAATCCCGCAATCAGACTACCTGCTATTGCTAACACAGACTTGCAATAAAAAAATCAGCATTTAATCAGAAAACTCTAAACTTTCCATTTGAAATCTAACTTATGTTTAAATATTAACCCTATCATCTTTTTTTTTTTTTTGACAAGGGAAACATTTGTTAGGAGTTAGTATCTGTTTTAGGTCAGCATCAGGAGTCGAAACCAGGTGAGCTCCACCTGCTACTCCAAGAGTAGCATGGCCCATCCACTGGGCCACATGGGGGAGTTCTATCATCTTATTATTTTCTTGCTCTGTATACTGTTATCTTAATAAAGCCAAAGCATTAAGAAACAAGATTCAACATGTCTTAATTCCTAAGTTTATATAGATGTCTTAGCAATGATTAAATCCAGTTGTGGGTAACTACTCATTAGAACAGATGCATTGGTCTTTATTATCTGCTTATTAGCAAACAACTTCAGAAAAATGGTTTTCCTAAGGGAGCATATTTCTTCTTCTTCTTCTTCTTTTAGTTAAAATTTACTTTACAACTTACAAGAAAGGTTGTGACATCACGGAAACTATTTCAACATATGGTAGTAAGAATATTTGAAAGGTGTTTTATGTATCCGAAATAAGACGAGCTAGGAAAAAACTAAATTAGAAGTATAAAACTAAAAGGCAATGATACTTCATTCCATTTCCTCTTATACATTTACATTTACAAGCACCAATAATTGAGTAAATGTCTCAATTCTTACGACTAAACAAAGCTTTATATGCCCACAATAGGGGTTAAGAATTAAAAGAAGATTTTTTCACTAAACAAAGCGTTAGATGCCCTCTATACATTTCTAGTTGCGCTTTGTTTGTCTCTGGCCATTAAAATCTCACCAATGAACTAAAACAGATATTCATTCGCAGAAAAAAAAAAGAAAAAAGAAAAAAAAAATAGCACCAAAAAGATATTCCTCCATTTTCTCAGTTGCCAAACAACTAGTTACTAGAAAAATCTAAAATAGAAAAATAAGGCAAGCTAAGAAACACAAAAACATTGACGAAAATAGAGAAAAAAAAAAAAAACAGGAAAAGAAAGTTCTAGTGTAGAATCAGGGACCATACCTGAAGGAAATCAAAAAAATCTGCTTTAGAATAGAAGGCCTGAGTAAAGAATCCCATAGTCAGACTATCGGTTATCGCTGATCGCTGACACAGACCTTCAATGGAAAATTTTGCATTTCAGTTAGCGAAACCCTAACTTTCAGTCGGAAATGAGAACAGAAATTAAACCTTCAATCAGAAAAGAAGATGGGAGAACCTTCAAATCAGACATTCAGAAAGGCTACCGGAAATGAGCTGAAGGATAATTGAAAGTTTTCGGAAGAAAACTTAGTGGTGACATTCACAGAAGAAATGAGATTAGGAAGGAAGAAATCAAAAAGTTCGGGAAAAAATGCATTTAAGAACTCGACCGTAAATTAAAGTTTGGGAATTCAATATTTTTTTATATTAATTCCCGCCATTAGTACAATCATTCATTTCGGTTCCGTTTTTAGTTGCTTGTTCTTTTTCAGTTAACATTTGGCGCTATTTTAATTGCGCCACTTTTTTTTTCAATTAATTGCCTGCGTTTGCACCTGGCACTCGGTTCAAATCGCACCTACTAGCTTGAGAAAAATTTTTTTTATGGGCAATTTCGAACTCGTTTCTTGGCAATTTGTTTAAAATAATAATAATAATAATAATAATAATTGCCTGCGTTTTGTACCGTAAACACAGGAATTCACAAACATAGACCCGTGTTTCCCAAAACGCCATCTGAAAACCAGCTGGTAAGGACAAAAAGCGAACAGTTGACTGGCATTTGTTCAAACACAAGAAAATAAGACCAAGGGAAGACCCTTTTTCCTGTAATGTCTTTTGATGTGTTTTTATTATTTTAAAATATATAAAATATTAATTAAAATAAATGTAAAATATATATAATATATATAATATTTTTTTGATATTAAAAGAATAAAAAACCTACCATTATAAGTGCGGGTTAATAGTACCAAACTAAGCTTATAAGTAAATTTAATTTCTAATTTGAGTTACTCACACTTTTGGACTTTTCTGAAGGCAAGTGTGGAGGG